TCAGGAGCAGCGCAGCCATCCATGGTTGACACGCTGTACCTTCCAGCCTAGGAGCTGGAAATCTGGCCCACCTTGATCAGGCTCGGACTCCTTTAAGCAAAAAGTCCCCCTTTCTTCCYSTCGGGGTTCTCCTTTTTAGGGTGTTCAGTCTCCATGATCGTGAGACAGTCAAAGGTGTTCGGTACGGTCTCTTACAGGGAGAGAGGGAGGGGATGTGCTCTGTCCTYTTCCTTTTGAGAGGGAGCTGAAAAGTGCTTGGTTCAGGCTGGGATGTGTTTATTTTCTCATCTGTTGTGTCCTGACCGAAGCACAAATCTGGGAAAACACAACCCACACATGGGTGGTGAGAGAACCCATGAAATGGTGAGAGATTGGTGATGTGCTTTTTCCTCCTCCTTCTGTAGATCTCGTCCCTGAATTTGCTGACGTTGATAAGACAAACCCCAACTGTGTGGTTCTGGGAGATGCAGCAGAAAACTTCACTTACGCCAACCTTAACGAGGCTTTCCGGCTTCTCATTGGGATGGAGAAGCCTGTTTTGATCTCCCTTGGGAAAGGGTGAGTTGAGCTCTGGTTTTTCCTCAAGCCCTCTGCATATTTTGGTTTCCCCCAGTGTCTTTGATGAAGGTCAGAAGTTGGTGTGGGCACTCACAGCATCAACTGTTCARTTTTTAATCTGTGTGCCTGCACTGAGAGCCTGTCCTGCTCAGGAACTGTCAGGGAGGAGGACTTTTGTTACTTTAAGAGAGCCTCAAAACCCCACAGGAATCATGGAGAGGTTGGATTTTGATGGGTGTGACCCCCAAGTGAGTATTCAATATCTCAGAGATGAGATCTGTTGGTTTAGCTGCTGCCTGTAGCCACGTGTTCCTCTCTGAATTGAGTATAAATGACTTTCCTTAGTGAAAGAAACCCAAAATTCCCACAGGCCATATTTGGATAAAGGGCTGTTGGTGTAGAYGCAGTGATTTGTGATGCAGTTTGATGCTTTTGCTGCTTTTGAARTGGCAGATCACTTATTTTGGTAGTTTTGATGTCAAACAGCATTTTTAATTATTCTCTGCCCATTAAAGGTAAATTTTGACCTCCTGCTTTCACACACTGGGAAAATCCAGTCAGGAAATTTGAATGTTTTCCTGAAAACTAATAATTCAGATATATTCTGAGATTTTAAACAGGAAGTTACTAATCCCTGTGCTAAATAATGACAAATCTCACCAGCCTCCAAGGAGTTATTCTTATCTGTTGTGTGATTCATGGGTTTAAAAGAGACTCTGCATGTTTGGCTTKGGGAAACTGCAGTGACAACTCTGCTCAGTGGTTCAATAGCCTGTAATGGGCATGAAAACCCTTTTTAGTCTGTGGGTTATTGATCCAGCTGGGCAGAACTTATCAGGRGGAAGGAGCAGTTAAATTCATTGTGTTGCCTTACCTGACACTCACGCTTTAATCCTGCAGCAGGCGTGAAAAATCCTTGCTGTTTCTCAGGAAGATAAGGAGGGAATGTGGAGCCAACAGGAGGATGGCTAGTGTACATAAAATAATCACATTTTGTGTGATGTAATACCGTATTTCAAAATTAAATGTAGGATCAGTCTTTGTTTAGGAATTGTAGTGTGATCAATGCAAAAATGCCTTTGTACCTTCTGTGTGTGAAATTATTTATTTGGTCATTCATTTATACAAAAAGCTCTTTTTTGTTACTTCTTTGAAATACTGTTTTTCATTAAAAAAATAAAGATTTTTTTGGATATTCAGAGCTCAGTTTAGACCAAGAGCATATTAATACTCAGTTAAATCAAGAGATTTTAATGACTGATCACTGAGGTGATGTCAATACAAGTTTTCTGATGGGTTCTTTGACTCAAAGGAGGGAGATTATGAATTGTAAGAATTGTTTTCCTGACTAGAGAAGCCTTTTTGATGCAGAGGGCCATATTCAAATCCCAGCTTCATTTTTAACCTGCAGAACAAGCACAGCTGGATGAGCTTTTGCAAGGTGCCTGCCTTGGGTCAACACGTTGGTTTTGGCAGAAGTTTTAGTTCATTCCGTGGAAAACAAAAGTGTCAGAGCCACTGGAGCAGAATGCCCTGCTCCTGAAAATGGAATGATTTACATTTAGCATCTGTTTTGGGCTGAGAGTGGGAATTGGCTTTGTAATTTCTTCTGTCATGCCACTGTCAGAAAATTAAGCTGTTTACGCCCGACTATGGAAGGTTAATGGCTGTTCCAGCAAAGGTCAAGTGGTCATTTTAAAGGAAGGCTATGCTGAATAATCGAAAATGGCAGAAGGGTAAGGCATAAAATCTTAGCTGACTGCTCATCCTGCCCTTTTTCCTGTCACATAGAAACCTGGCTTTGCTCTGATCAGGAGAGCTTTTGGAAGACCTGCGTTAACGTGAATTGCTGTTCAAGAAAAACTTTCTAAAGATGCCGCCTGATTCCATGAGCTTCATGGCAACAGAGGCATTTTTAGAAGGAACAAAATCCATCTTGGAGGGATTTCTTAGTGCTGATAAAGCCCATGCTGGCCTGAGCACACAGAAACCCCTCTGAACCCCTGGAGTTGTGTCCCAGATGGGCTCCTGCTCCGCGATCCTTCCCCTGAGCCTGTCCTTTCCTCAACTCCCAGGGTTAAACCAAGGCCGAGCATTTTCTGATTACCTGACTCTTTATGCAGCCATATGGACATCTATAAAAGTCCAGAAATAATAAAATGTGGTTTCTTTGCCTTTGACTGCCAGCCCTTTTCATTTCATGGCAACTTTTATCGCTTTCATTTCCAGACGCTACTATAAAGAAACCGATGGTCTGAAACTGGATGTTGGAGCATATATGAAGGCATTAGAGGTATTTTATGGCTGGAATTGTGCTTACTCGCCCTGTGGCCCTTGTTAAAGGAGTTACTGGGAGAAATATGGGTCATCTTCTGTAATTATTCACCTTGGTGGAGGGAGTTTCCACCCACCGAAACTCATTTGCTGCGTTCTGAAGATGG